AAAAAAAAAAAAAGGAGGAAATGGGCAGATATTCCAGGAAGTGGGAGAAAGTATCAGATATGTTATATCTTTATAAACTGCCCAGAGCCAAATACTTCAAAATACCTAAAGATGTTTATTCATATTTGTACCCTGAGTCCGTATAATATCTTTACTTTTTCATAATCCTGCACTTATATTACCAAGAGGCCTCAGGTGATAGAAGTAGAACTTACTTTTGGGGGGGGAAGGAAGAAAAGGCTTACATTTTTATTGTATTTCCACTACACAAGGCTATATAGTAAAATATGCTGCTAAAATTTGAAGATCCTTATTTGAAGTTGTAATTATTTGCAGAGATTAAAACATTTTTCAAATGTTATTCTGAAGGAACAAATTCTATATTCTAAACCAGGGATCCTCAAACTTTTTAAACAGGGGAACAGTTCACTGTCCCTCAGACCATTGGAGGGCCAGACTGCGGGCCCCGGACGAGTCAGCTGCTAAGCAGGACAGACAGCAGTGGCAAAAAAAAAACCCCAGCAGGCCAGATAAATGTCCTAGGAGGGGCCGCATGTGGCCCGCGGGCTGTAGTTTGAGGATGCCTTGTTCTAAATTAAAATGTTTTATTTAAAAATATTTTTAACATGTTTCTCAATTCATGAAATTTAAGGATAATGTTAATCATATTAAATGGAATTCCATAAAAAATGGAATTGGAATGCACTTAACGTAAAGAAATATTAAATAGGCTCAGCACCTATAGCTCAGCAGCTAGGGCACCAGCCACATACACCAGAACTGGTGGGTTCGAACCCAGCCCCAGCCTTGCCAAACAACAAAGGCAACTACAATCAAAAAATAGTCAGGCGTTGTGGCAGGTGCCTGTAGTCCCACCTACTTGGGAGGCCAAGGCAAGAGAATCACTTAAACCCAAGAGTTTGAGGATGCCATGAGCTGTGACACCACAGCACTCTACCGAGGGCAAAAAAATAAAACTCTGTCTCAAAAATAAACTAATAAAATAAAATAAAATATTAAATATATGATGTGTCTCCTAATAAGTAAGGATAATATCTTAAGGATTAGGATAATATCCTAATTATCCTTACTTATTTTGCTCTTTTTCTTAAATTTACCTTCTATCTTTCTCAGCCTATTTTAGTGATAATACCAATGATGTGAACTGAGGCAACCTTATTTTGTAGCCCTGGAATGAGAATTATTTTCCCACAGGTTTTTCTAAATATAAGAAACTAGAGTTTTTTTCTCACTGAATCCTTTCTTTGGCTCATAGATCCTTCTTAGAAGACTTTTATTTGCCTTGGTTTTGATTTGCTTGAGTGTTTCTTTAGCCTATCAAATTAGACTTAGATGTAACTCGAGGTCTAAAATGACATACCTATATTTTTCAAAAAATATATCTATTTCCTGTTAATTGTCTAATATTTCCTAAATATTATTATTTTTCCTATTATAATATTTCCTAAATATTATTTTTTAAATGATTGTGGATTCTGTAATGATACTCGCTTCTTCATTACTGGTGTCGATAATTTGTGTTCCTTCTCTTTTTCTCTTGTTCATTTGAGGATTTATCAATTTCGATCATATTTTCAAAGAACTAACTTTTGACTTTGTTAATTTTCTCTATGGTTTGTATGTTCTCTAATTACTTGATTTCTACTCTCATTTCTTTCTTCCTACTTATTTTCATTTTACTTTGCTCTTCTTTTTCAAGCTTCTTAATGTGGTTCTTTTGGTCACTGATCTGGGCATTTTTTTCTTTTCTAAATAAGCATTTAAAGCTATATATTTCTGGCTTGGCTCCCATAGCACAGTGGTTACTGCACCAGCCACATACACTGAGGCTGGAGGGTTCGAACCCAGCCCGGTCCAGCTAAGCATCAATGACAACCCCAACAAAAAATAGTCAGCGTTGTGGCAGGCGCCTGTGGTCCCAGCTACTTGGAAGACTGAGGCAAGAGAATCACTTAAGCCCAAGAGTTGGAGGTTGCTATGAGCTATGACACTACGGCACTCTACCAGGGGTGACAAAGTGAGACTTTGTCTAAAAACAAAAAACAAAAAACTCTTGTCAACTTTGCAGAAGAAAGTTATGATCTTAATCATATTGTAAGGGAGATAGCATTTAATGGCTGCTTCAGTGAATAAAGCTATACATTTCTCTCTAAGCACTACTATAGCAGTATCCCACAAATTTTGATATGTTGTATTTTCATTATCTTTCAGTTTGAAATATTTCCCAGTTTCTCACATGATTTTCTTTTTGATCCATACGTTATTTAGAAGTATATCTTTTTAATTTCCAAATATTTGGGTAGGGAGGGGTTTGTTTGGTTGGTTTTTAGGTATCTTATTCCTACTGATTTCTAATTTAAATTTATCATGACCAGTTTTTTGAACTAGCATATGGTCTGTGTTAGTAAGCATGCCTTAAGGTGTGTATTCTGCAGTTGTCAAGTATAGTGTTCTCTAGATGTCAATTTGGCAAAGTTGGTTAATAGTGTTGTTTAAATAGTCTGACATTACAGAGTTGTTTAAAAATCTAGTAATTCTAGCAGTTGTTTAAAGGAAATTGTTAAAATTACCAGTTATGCTTATGGAGTAGTTTCCCTTTAATTCTGTCATTTCTAGCTTTATGTATTTTGAAATTTTATGTACTTTTTTAAATTATTATGTCTTCCTGATGAATTATTCTTTTCATCATGCAATGTCACTCTATCTTTGGTAATGCTCTTTATCTTAAAGTCTATTTTATATGATATTAACATAGCAATTCCATCTTTTCTGTGCTTTATTTGCTTGTTGTATCTTTTTTCATTCATTTACTTAATGCTTTAAATTTATTTGTGTCTTTATATTTAAAATACATTTCTTTTTTTTCAGTTTTTAGCC